TTACTTTAGATCAGATAACAAAGTTAAAGGCAACAATGTACCCTGTTTGTTCCAGACTGAATTTGTGACTTAAATTGACCTCTCTTGTGAGTTTGACCCATTTAATCAGAGCAACAGGTGGCTGCCTTTCTAGAATTTCCCATATTTTAGGGTTTTCATGATCAATTATTTACGGATTCTTAGAGCCCCAGGAATTTGGACCTCAGTGCTGTCTTCTTACCATGACCATGGTTGCACCTTCTTGATAAGAAACAACTGGCTAGGAGGGTAGAGGGAAATGTACCTAGTTGAATTTTTCTTTATTGAATAATGCTTTCATGTAAAGACAGGACAAGGACTTTGGGGGTGGTATCCTATCCTGCTCCCTACTTTTGTCATGGGCATATTATTGACGGAATTAAGTGTTGATGTCTTGCAAGGCTTTTGCTTTCTTGGAATGTGTGTGGTAGCATATGTGTCACTCAGCCAGATTTCTCTACTCAGAGCAACCCCGCAGAGGGGACACAAGTGTGAGCCAGCACTCCCTGTGGAGGTGGGCCATTAGTGACAATCAGACTAATTTATTTGCCATTATGAGCACAGATAGATTGAAATCGTTTCTCTTTTTGAGGTGGAAGTGCCCTTCAATTATCCAAGCCTCAAATAGATGGTTTAAATAAATGTTCTCAGGATTTGAAAACTAATGGTCTGCTAAACTAAAAATTCCATTTTTGATCTAGGAAGCATAGCTGATAGAAATCTTACAGAATAGTGAAAATAATGTCATTAGAAACAAAAGCAATAATTGATACCAATTTGAAAAACCTTAATACTGTGAATTCTTACACATTTGCTATTGATAGAAGATAGTTTTATATAAGACTGCCTGTCTATGAAAAGAACTGCTCTTAATTTTCGTGTGTGTGTGTGTGTGTGTGTGTGTGTGTGTGTGTGTATTCCTGTGCATGTTCATGCATGTGAAGGTGTGTATGGGGACCAGAGGTCACTGTCAAGTGCTTTCCTCAATCATTCTTCACCTTATTCTTTTCAAGACAAGGGCCTTCATTGAACCTGGAGCTCACCGATTGGCTAGACTGGCTGGCCAGCAAGCCCCAGGGATCCTCCTGTCTCTGCCTC